GCAAGAAGAGGTATGTCTCCCGATCGCACTTGCGAAAGTGACTCGGTGATTCAGCATGCGGAGCTGTGGAGGGTTAGAGCGGGCGCCGGAGGGCCATCGATCAGTGGATAACGGCGCCACCCTGCACTACAGGGAAGGTGAAAGAAGAAGTACGCCGAGGGGCTACACAGTCCTACAATATTGCTTCACTGCAGCCTGTATCCGTTGCGTTGTGTTCAGTGTGCCGTGCCCAAATTCATTATGCGGCACGACGCGGCACTTCACTATAGGGAGTATTCACTGGCGACCATATCCGTGTGCGCTGCTGCTGAGCGCGTGCTGACGGCGAGCTTCCGCAGTCTTTTTGGAGCGTGCATTTAGCACCATCAAGGTTGCCGGTCTTAGCAGGCTATTTTTGTGAGCTCGTTCTGAGCATGCGCTCTAAACATCGCCCTCAAAGATGGCGTCCAGTGAATACCTCCTATTGTGACCAACGGTGAATACATTTTCTTCTTCTTTAGTCATGGCCTCCAGGATGCTCCACCGGCCGTCCCATTCGACTCAGCCCCCAGCAGGAGGAGCGTGTCATGCTAACACCTTCGCGCTCCGCAAGTGGCGCCATAAACCCAGCCAAGCTAAGCCAAGCTATTTAAGCCAAGCAAGCAAAGAGTAATATACAGAAGGGAAAGAGCGGAAAGTCGGGCCGGTTCGCGGGCCCAGATACGCCTCCAATCCCGTCCGCGAAGCGGCGCTACTATAAAAAGTAGTTTGAAAGATTACGGTTAAAAAATGCTCCCGCTAAAAATTGTGGTGCTTTAATAATATTTAAAGAATTTAAAACGGTCATAGATGTCGACTCGGTTCCTCGCCAGGAAGCTTTGCACGAGGTGCGTGCCACGTGAGAGAAGAAGGCGACGACTGATTGTCGTGTCAAATGGAACGCTACTGAGTAGGCCTCAGGGCAGACATTCCACTTGTAAATATACTTTTAACACTTCCGCTCTTAAATATATAACATCGGCGACGAGGTAAAGAAATAAGCGACGACGGCAACGGGGGACGAAGCGGACGCGCTCAGCCAGCAAGGCACTATGGCGGCAGCCACGACATTTGGCACCATCGACGAGTTCGCGCCGGGTACCGACGCGACATGGCCTTCGTACCTGGAGAGAGTTCCCTCTGTTCGCCGGCTCTTCCGTCCGATGCAAGCTACGAGCATATCGTCTCAAAGCTGACGGCTCACTTCAACCCTAGGCCGTCCGTCATCGTGCAGCGGTTTCAGTTCGGGAAACGCGACCAGCGACCGGATGAGAGCACCGCTGACTAGGTCGCCAAGCTTCGTCGACTGTCGGAGCACTGCGACTTCGGGGACGACGCTGGACGATATGCTCCGAGACAAGTTGGTGTGCGGTCTCTTGGATGAATCACTTCACCATATTCCACGTGAATCACGGTTACTGTCTAATTAACTGCCAAGACTGTCTTTGTTCGTTTGGCAGGGTTGCACCTCTCAGAGGAGCAAGGAGGAAAGCTCTGTCAGTACACTACGCGTCGCAGGGGGCACGCGGAGTGAAATCCGGTTATGTTCCACGTTATACGCCGATTGAGATCCAGAGTGCAATCTCAGGCGCTGTCTGCTTCGATTTGGATAGGCCTGTTGCTATGTGTTGCTGTCTGGAAAAAAAGAGGGGGGGGGGGGGTAGTTCGCGTCAGCAAGGATGCTAGGATAAAGTACAGCTACAGGGTCCGCCAGATACGACCATGTAAGGTATGGCTAAAAAAAAAAAAAAAAAAAAAAGAAAAACGTAGTGTTAATTTTAATATATCAAAAAGTGTAATGCGTGGAAGTTGTAAATAAACTGGTTATTTTTTGCGACTTTCTATTGTCTGTTTTCCCAGCGAGCTGCGTCAGAGTGGTGAAATTGTTTGTGCCAGATTTGCCTCATAACACCAAGTTTGTTGGCGAGCCAGCCCCATTTTATAATCGCCTTTAAATATTGCCCAGTTTAAACTGGCTAGTACTGCCCGGTTTACGAACACTGGCTGATTAATTGCCAGGCGGTTACTCTCATAATCGATGTATAAGGCGTAAATAAGCACCACAATGTGACTAGTGAAGGTTAAGTAATAACGAGGAAACCAGCGCCGGAAGAAATAATAAAGAAAGGATTTCTCGTATTTTGAGAAACCCTAATTTGTTAGCGCTGCACAGCCGACACGTTCCTGAAAGTTCATTCATTGTAAAAGCGCTTGCATGTAGTTCCAGCTGTCATACCTCAAAACATATGCAACATTTCATAAGCGCAACATCTTCGTTATATTAAGACGTAAGTGTAAATCGTAGGCAAGCTGGCTAACAACTTTAATGCCAAACCCAGGATAAAAACACACACATATTCCAAAAAAAAAAAACGGATTCGCGTATTGTGTCTGTTCAAGATTACGCGAGTTATCAGACAATAAGGACTTTTAGCAAACCACTGCCGCGTTCCGAGTACCGCACTACCGGAGTCTTCGAAGCATGCTTTTAAGCGCGCGCCCGAGTGATACCGTGGCAGCGGGGCGCTGGCTTAAAAACATGCTTCAAAGGCTCCAGCAGTACGGTACTCTGAACGCTGGCAGCGGTTTTCTAAAGGTCCCTAATCTCGCTAAGCATGATCAAGATGAATTAGCTCAGGTACAATCAGCACGGAATGAAACCCGAACGCCGGAACGCGTGGCCATCGATACGGGCTGCTCCACCTGGAGGGCCCGTGAGAACTAATGAAAATGCACCTGGGAGCGAGGGTGCGGGTCCTACTAAGGTGTCCTCAACCCTCGCGCGGGGCGTCTGGGACTTCCGCGTTTCGCCGGTGGTGCGCCAGAGGCGCCGTCACTCGGGGTGCTTTTCTGTCGCCGCACTGTCGCCCCGCTGTCGCCCGGTTGACACCGGGCGGCCGCTTAACATGGATATAGCTCTCTGCGATAGGCCCTGCTCAAACAGGGTGATGAATCTATTCCGATACGCCTAGCATATCGGTGGTTACCAAAGAGAGCGTTAGCAAGCGATTCCTCGCTTTTTAAGAATCGACTGATAAGCTAGCTCGCACGAAAACATGCGCATTGCTCATAAAAACCGAGGCATGCGCGTCGGTCTGTTGCAGCATTCTTTTTTTTTTTTTTTTTTCATGAAGAGTATGGTCGTGCGAACAAACGAATTTTATTTTGCGTTTATGACGTTTCACTATTTCTCAGAAACTGCGCGTGGCACGTTGTTCACCGGAGCCCCAGTGCGGTTCCGGCGACACGTCATCAAGCACTACGGGTCTTCGGTGCACGAAATGTTTCAACTTTTATTTCGCCCTTGCGATACACAAAACGATAATGAATGACAGCGCTGAAGAGATATCGCTGGGAATCCGATACACAAAGCGAGTGACTGTGCTTTTTGTATCGGATATGACGGCGCGTACAGCGCCTCACCGGCGAAACACGGAACTCCCAGACGCGCCTCGCGAGGGTCGAGCTCATCTTAGTAGTACCCGCACCCTCGCACCCCGGCAGATTTTCCTTACTTCTCAGGGGCCCTCCAGGTGAAACAGCCTGTATCAACGGCCACGCGTTCCGGCGTTCGGGTTTCATTTCGTGCTGACTGCACGCTCATGTATGCACATCGCTTCGCAACCGAACAAAACATCGAGCGCCGATAGCGGTGTGACTTGACGTATGTACGAATTAAGCTAATAAAAAGTTCGTAAAGAGAGCGGAACATACGCGTGCCCGTATAATGATAGTGTGACCAGTGGTGTACGTAGACTCTGTTCTACACTTACGCTTATGACATTACGGGTTGTTCTTACCGCAATGACAGCTTTTGTGCAGGCACACGGAGAGCTAGATCGCTTCGAAAACCGACATTGGTACCGCCACTCGCCGGTTCTTCACCGATCCTGTCGAGAGTTCTTCGGTGTCAAACAAAATCTTTCGTTACTCGGCGTCGTGTTCTCCCATTTTAGTTGGCTCCTGCACGCATGGAAAGTGGCTTTCCCGCACAATTAGCTAGGTCCCCAGCGCTGCGGGCATATCGATGCTAACGCTGCGTGCTCAAAAGCCTTGCATTTTTCCCCGCTGGACGAAGCCTAGCAATCGCCACACCTCCCATCCTAGCCCACGATACTATTAGTTTGTCACATATATGTTGTACGCTGAGATGATGATAGCGATCAAAGTTGCCAGACTGAATTTCAGAAACGTTTTATTGCTTCAATGAATCTTGAACTTCATGCCTTACAAGCTCCTCCTACACGTTCCTTCAGGGAGAAAAAAAGAAAATGGAAGGGACAGGGAAAATAAGGCTTGCTTACACAACGGACCCTCAGAAACACTTGGACTGGTTGAAACCTATCGAATACGATTGCTCATGGTACCTAACAGTGTAAACCTTGCGCAATGTTTTGCAGATGCCAAGGGGAAAGGTATCACAATCTGTGATACATGCGCATGCAAATTGCGCGCGGGGTTATTAAAAGGATGCGGTAAGAACCATGTTAGAGCTGAGACTGGATTAAAAATAATACATGACTTGAACTGACTTCACATCTGTGACCATTGTGGTGGTCTTGCAGCTGAACGCGTACTTTTTGCAGCACACATTTCGCTCCACCGAATTTGTTTCTTTTTTCTACAGAAGAACAACTAGGAAGGACCAGCGGCACGGTGTAATGACGCGACGTGAAAGACACGTATAGGCAAAGAAGAAAGCCTAAATACACAGCTGGGTATGAATTAAGGGCCTGGAGTAACAAACGAGAGAACAACATGTTTGCCCATTACCGTGTATGCAGGTTGCTAGTAAAGCTCTAATTGTTTTAAGCTTATAATAAAGCAATAAGTAACAACAAGTGGTACATGAATGCAGCGGGAATATTTGTCGTGGTCGAACTGAAAAGACGATTAGTTAAAACGAGCAATGTCCCCATGCTATTTCGACGTGATACTCGTACAGCCAGCAATATTTATAAAAAAAAAATACAGGTATAGTCGGTGCCTAACGATCGATCGACTGATCGAGTATGTATTCTGGTTACATTGGAGTGTACTAGTGGAAGAAAAACGTCGTCAAGTAAGTACTTGGTTAACGTCATTTAAACGCAAGCAGATACGCTGACAGATCCTCTCGTCAAGGGAACGACTGGAGGCATCTTTCTGGCAAAAGTGCCTAAATGGCTCCTTTTACTTTAAGCACCCAAGCCCAGGGCGTCGGAAGCAGGTCGGGAGTGAGTGACGGAAAAACGATCGTCAGTTTTCCCCGAACAGAATTCTCCCTACTTCGGTTTTGATGCCATTCAAACTGGTCACTCCCTAGACCCAGCATGGTGATGCTCGCGGAAGGTGACAGGTCGAGTGATCCTAGGTAAAGCTTGTTTGCCTTGGGCCATTTGAGGACAAACACGTAGACAGTGTCGTTCGCCTTGTTCGCCGTGTACCAGATACTCGAGGTGAGCGTGTCATTCTGGTGCTTCCAGGGCTTCGAACCATAGACTGCTTCTCCGTTCACACCAAGCCAGATGCCCAGTTGGAGCAGCCTCTCCTCGAATATCGGATCGATGATGCCGTCTTTAGTGGGTCCGACATTGATGAGGATGTTGCCGTAGCAGCTCACGGTGCTGGCCAGCTCCCTTATGAGCCCTTGGACAGTGCGATAGTTGCTGAGCTTGGCGTTCCTCCTGTATCCCCAAGAGGACTTGTCGATGGTCATGCAGTTCTCCCACTTGTGTTTCTGCAGGACCCCGGGGTTGTAATGGTCGTCGCAGTTATAGAAGTCGCCGTGCTTGCAGCACAGTCCCTTGCCCCAACGATCGTTGACGACCACACTGGACTTGACGGGCTGTCATTGTAGAGCCAGGCGAGGAATTGAGTACTGTTCCAGTAGCTGTCTGGGGCCTCCCACTCTCCGTCGGACCAGACTACGTCGGGTTTGTACCTGCGATTGAGTCGACGTTGCGAGATTATATTTTTGAAAACGCAAGTCTTTAGAAACAGAAGTTACAATAAATGTTTGAGTGCCCTTATAGTAACAAACAGCGTAGGCAGTGGAAAAAAAAAAAAGAAATTCACGGTGATATTCTTGCTAGGGGTGCTTCTGTTTTCCTCAGTGAACTTGCTCTTGTTCTGTTGAAAACTGCCATCATGTTGACATTTTAAATTGTGTTATCACATTAGGCGTGGACGCAAAGTAGTTGTATATGCAAATAAAAACTAAATATGTCATTGGCAAAACGGCAAGCTTACATAATGCAGAGAGCACGAGTACTCCCCCTAAGAAAATTCCTAGGGTATTACTGGGACAGTTTGCTGCTTTGCAACATGAAGCATCATGGCTCTTATTTTGTCCAAAAATACCAAAGATCTCCTTGGACGTCGGCTCGCCCATGCATTTCCGACGTCGCGAAAAACGCCGCGGCGATTTGCTTTTATCTGCGCCGCCGTTCAGGCGAGGTTGTGGGAAATGGGAGGTTTTGCATCCATGTAACCTAAGAGTGACTGCGAATGTCTTCCTTGAGTTATTAAGAAAACCAGCCGAGATCAACGAGGGCAAGATAAGGACCGGGTATTGTATTTAGAACCGCAACGGTAGACATCATCGATTAGTAAAGGGAAACACATTATATTTAATGTTCCATATTTAGCTTGAGCGCTCAAATTTTGAATTAGCTCAGCTGGATTAGAAGGTGATTAAAAATATGAATAGTTGTTGAGGTGGGAAACAACTGGCTCATATCCGCAAAAATGGCGCTTCGGTTCAGTTCTGAGCGAGTTTTTCCTTCGACGAGCTTTATTGTTCTCAGTGTTGCTATTAATTAACACATTTTGCGTGCAATATAGACGCTTTGCAGCAGCTGTGCATGAACGCCGCCATAACTGACCTACAGTTTTTGTTTCCTCTTATTTCGTTTATTTCACTTCCTCATTACCATAGCGGGCCAGGTTATTGCCACATTAGATTCAACTGTGTCCTTTTCTAAAGCATCGGCCTTTGTAGAGGATTGTCAACTGCCGTTTCAGTTGTTCGGCATCTCGGTAAGACAAGAGAAGGTCAGCAATGGCGGCTGTAATTTGGCGCGTGTGTAAAGCGTCTATACAATAATGTTACAGCACGTAATGAATCGCTCTTTTGGCTCGTCAAGCATTAAGGTCACGACGTACAATTAGTGGCAGCAGCAACCTCCGGTAAGCTCAAAAGCACAATTCGTTTTTGTTATATTTTTCCGAAATAATTATTTTCTAATCAGTTTATATACAGTAATACAGTATCAGAGTAAACGTCCACCTGAAAGCTGAAACCGTTTCTTCGAAGCAGGAAAACTATTTTCTGCTTGGCCCAGATGTACTACCAGGCATATATCAATTCTGAATTAAATGAAATAGACCAATGTCACCAGCCAGTTTGACTACGCCACCGCTGTGGCCATGCACCGAGAAAACCTTTAATCTTTCTGCACGTGCGGCAACCCCGCTGGAGCTCTGAGTGTGTGCAGCACGAGACGGCACAAGCCCTCGCATCCACGGTCGTCTGCTATCTGTGAACTAAACTTATGGCGGCGTCACGCATGCGCCTAACGCTTAGTGAGATCGGTCTATTGCTCACAGAGAATAAAAATAAAGAAGAGTAATATGTACTTGGCGACGACTGTGCGTGATATATCGAGCATCAGGACGCACTTTTTGATGTGGGGATTTCATTCATTGTTTGGACGTAGCAGACGACGGTAAGAGGCTTCGGTATGTCGGGTTAAAAGCTGGCTTGAAAGGCACTCGTGCTAATCATTACGAATATGAACGATGGTAAGCTGTTAAAAGATTACATTAATATTTTTGTCCGATATTTTATAAGGTAACGCTATACTTCGCTTCACGTCCCAGCGCAAACGACAGTTTGTGCTGATGAGGTAAGTAAACGATAAGTTTTTGGCAGGATGAAAACGGCAGGGAGGTCTTTCAGTTCATCGTTAAGAAAGAAATCCTCCATCGGTAATCGACCGCAACATAAAGCTTACTAAACATTTATTATTTTAGTTTAAAACAAAAGAAAGCAACAAATATCTGCAGATTTCGTACTACCAATTGTCAAAAGTCGATCAGATGAAGTTTAAAAATATCGAAAGTAACAATTTCTTAAATTGTTGCTCAAAGCTTGCAGTATTTTGACTTTTTTTATTTTTAAACAACTTACGGGCACAACGACAAAAAAAAAAAAAAAAGAAATAAAAAAAAACCACAGGCAACAGTGAACCTTAAAGTATATATATTTTTTTAAATACACATAGCAAGATATACTTGGCACAAGAAGTTTCAGCTCGAAAGCATGATTAACACAACCTTAAATTCCCCCCCCCCCCCCCCCCCCCCCCCGAAATTCTTCAATACGACAGGGTTGCTCAAAAACCAAAGTTTGAATTTTTTTTTCTTTTGAAATATGAATTCAAGTAAAGTGAATTTAATTATATTTAGAAGAACAGCTTCCATGCATTGTATATACAAATATGAACGGTTTGGAAAGTTCCTATTTGTTTTCCCGGTGCCCTCAAAGTTTTGTCAACGCGCAATCGGAAAAGTTATTGCTTCAACCTCCTCTCAGACGCGATTTTTTTTTTCTCGCGAAAAGAAGGAAGTATCGTATTTTTCGGTGTATAGTCGGCGGAGTATACATGTTCAAAAACTCAACTTTTACCCGGTGCGGTGTATCTACAGGTGCGGACTACACAAGGTGGTGTATTTTTCTAGATCGTTTACTGTGCAAAGACGTGAAGAGGTTTATGAATAACGGAGCACATTAATGGTGATTTATGTAGGGTACAAGCCCCTTTGTGAGCTAACACAGCAGGCATTTGCCAATATGTGCTGTCTATGATCACGTTTACGTTCTGATTAGGCACTATAGGTACCGACTATACACCGGGTGTGGAGAATCTAAGCGAACACTTTTACTTTTGGTTTCAAATTTGCCTCCGCGGACTGTACACCGGAAGAAGCGGAAAATACGGTACCTTGCAAAAAGCAAGGTTTGTTCTGCTATGTAGACATGCTTTGCTACCTCGTATAAAATTTGAATGAAAAAAAAAAAAAAATAAACATGACACCCCTATGACTGTTTTTGCCTGAACAAACCTGCCAGTCATGGTGTAAAAAAGTCGCGATTCAAAGGCAAACTAAATAAACCAAATCTATTTGATTTAAATCAAATTAATTTGATTGAAATCACTGTAGCTAAAAATAATGATTTTTTAACCGTGTACGTATTTTTCAACATTATTGATTGACTGATAATTTCGTCCGATCACTATTAATAATGCAGAAGAATTACCGTAAATGTAAAGTACACTGTAAGGAACAACTTTTAGTTACTGTAATCCCCGCCCTACTAACACGAAAACAACCTGACTTTTTTTTAGTTAAATACAAAAAAGACATCGTTCGATTTTTGTTTTTCAGGTTATTGTAATATAATATTACTTTTCTCGACTTGGTTTCTTTATTTTGCATTTTCATCTTGTTGCAATCGGACGTTACATAGCTGACGAACAAAATGGAAAGTAAAAATCAAGCTCAGTACAGTCCGAATTTCTAAAAAGATCGCTTCTTTTTGCTTCTGTTTAGTCGTATATAAATCTTTCTTGTCTGGCGATTCTTTGCGTTAAATACAAAACACATGCACATCGAAAGCAGAAACAAAAAAAAATATTTTCGGGAATATTATTGTGGGTTAAATCACTATATATAGTAACGGGTGTCATTTAAACAACAATTTAATCGCGATTTAAGTCATGATTTAAATTATATTGATTTTTATTCTGCACCTTGCTCCCAGTGCTGGGGCAGCTTCCTGGGTAGCATGAAAAGGGTGTGTGATTTTATTTCGATACAAAAATTTATACCAAAATCTTCGTGAACTAATTCGGTTTATGCAGGTGAGTTATACAGCCCGGGGGACATGATACAGGTGTAACCGCGGACTTGTACGCGACAAGTTACAAGTAAATGATTACTGATAATCAATTACACTTTTTTTTTTTACTTTTTAACGCTTCAATAATTTTTTATGCGGTAACGTTCGCTGTAGTTCAGTTACTATTTTTTTCTGATCAATTACAAGTAAGCAGTTATGTTTCTGAAAGAGCTAAAACTACTGAGTTGAGGTTTTTCACGTACAAAAATTATCTGTCTGCCCGTGTGCGACTCGTCTCTGCGGGTACTCCGGAGAATCTGTCCACGGTCGAGTTTTTCGGCTTTTCGCTGCTCTCACCTGAGACGCTTCCAGCAGGCAGTCGCGACAGTGAAGCGCTTCGCTTCCTAGAGGGCTCGGAAGCGCCCGTCGAAATACTGCACAACCACGAACTGGTACGCCAAGTATTTGTGCGCTGCAACACCGCTCTTCCCTCGAGCGCATCCGTCGAGAAAGTCATCAGCAGCGCTGCAGATGTCCTCCCCAGGAAGCGTGGGATAGATGACTGACGAGGACTTCGAACGACAAGGTGTGAATGACAAAAGCGAACATATGTATGCATTTTTGATTTTGTAACAGTAAAAAGAAAAAGAAAAAAAAGTAGTGTGAAAAGTAATCAATTACTCTCTGGCAATCATTTCAGATTACGCTCATCAGGTTTCTAATTGAAGAATGTGTTTGTACGAGTAACTATAAAGTTAATGAACAAGTTTTGGCTGATTATGCGACTTATTGCGGCGGTTATATAACTCACCTGCACAAACCGCATTACTTCGTTTTTTTCTTTTTAAATTTTCTAATTAAACATAAACATCCTGAATATTTGCGCAACTGAGCCTTTTTATTTCTAAAACATACAATTTGTATTAATACACACTTTTCGAGTAGTTTTTTTGACCATTTCTTGTTTAAAAGAAAACAAACAAGGTTTGGAATAGATTATCAATGAATTTCGTTATAGTGAGCTGGCACACATTTGATTGCAATAAAAAAGTACGTATAGCACTCACGAAAAAAACCTTGCACCCCCTAAAATGTGCATCAGGTGTAAAAGCGTGTTTCACAAAACGTTGCACCAAAAATTATAGCTTCCACGGGAACAGTTGGACCTGCGTTTTGTGAATCACCGTGTACGCGTTTGCCAGAACGGCCTCTGGGTGCCGCTCTTCTGCTGCAGGCGCATGCAGATCGTCTGATAGTCAGGCCTGGCTAAGGAGTGCCCACTACTGCAAGACTAATGCATCAACAGAGCATTTTCCACGCACAATGGTCAGACTAGCTTTTGAAGCGGGGCTGTATGCAAACATCTATATAGATACACTTACCAATAAAAAGTATTCCCATGTCATCAGCACGATCTGTCAGTAAAGCCACATAGAGTCTGCCGAGCATAATTGACACTTTAAGTGCGCGCCATCTAGCAGCTGCCGCGACAACTACCCGAGTCCGCCATTTTTGGGCACGCACTCTGTGCATGTATTGCGGACAAGCACTCGGATCCAATCACACGCTTCGTGTCTAAGCAATGGCGGCGTTCAGTTTTGCTTGATGGACTTTTGAAAAGGGTCTATTGCTTCGACGACATGAAATGAGTCTGGTGAAAGCTCGCTTTTAGCACGCGATCGACAGCGACACACACAACTATGGCAGCCACTATACGTTCCAACTTTACTGGATTAGCACAGCTACGGAACTGCCCGTAGACTGCTTCCACGAACAGTGCCCTCCATCGCTTGCCTCCCATCGTTCGACGCGCCACAGCCAACTGCTATGGCATCTGCAATGTATTCGTTTACTCATTTATGTTTCGAAGCACAGCCCCCGTCTATATGTCGTTTCATCATACTCAATCGAACACAGTTTTGAAACGAAAATCTAGATGGCGCTTCAAACGTTTGAAGGCTATAACAGGAGGCGGGCTGAGCAGAGTGAAAGGGCGGGGGGGCGGGGGGGGGGGGGGGGGGGGGGGGGGGTCTTTCTCCGGCCGAGTTCTATAACTGAAGTAAATCTAGTAACGTTGACATGTGTCCGGCACTGACGTCACACAAGAGGCCATTGAGGTGGCCTTGTTGCTGAGCACGTTTTTATCCCACATTTGACACTATCTAATTTGGTTACCTCGGCAAGAGCAAGCTAGAATGACTGCCAGCACAATGCGGTGACATCAAGTGTGAGCTATGTAAACAAAAGGAAGCTTGCCTTATACAACATGACATTGAAACAAACTCAGATTTGAGGCAATGAAAGCAGTTAACAAGACGTCGGACATTTTCTGCATCAAACGCATTTTCCAGATGATGCCCTCTCTAGAGCGCCCCTTCGACTTTAAGCACCCAAGCCCATGGAGTCGGCAGAAGGTCTGGCGTAAGGGGTGGGAACAGGATCGTCACTGTTCTCCGGGAGGAATCGTCGCTCCCTCCAGCATGATCCCACTGAAACAGGCCATCGTTAAGACCCAACATGGTAATCCTCGCTTTCCGGGAAAGAACTAGAGACTCCAGCGTCAACTTATTGAGCCTGGGCCACTTGAGGACGAACACGTAGACCACGTCCATGTCCTTGTTGGTCGTGTACCAGATGCCCGGGGTGAGTGTGTCGTTCTGGTGCTTCCAGGGCTTCGAGCCGTAGACGGCCTCTCCGTTCACACCCAGCCATCTGCCTAGCTGAAGCAGTCTCTCTTCGAAGACGGGTTCGATGACGCCGTCTTTGGTCGGCCCGACGTTGATGAGAATGTTGCCGTTGCAGCTCACGGTTGAAGCCAGTTTCTCGATGAGTTGCTCGATGCTGAGGTAGTCGCTCAGATTGGCGTTCCTCCGGTATCCCCACGAGTGCTTGTCGATGGTCATGGCGTTTTCCCACTTGTGCTTCAGCAGGATTCCCGGGTTGTAGCGGTCCTTGCAGTTGTAGAAGTCACCGTGATGGCAGGGAATGCCGATTCCCCAGCGATCGTTGACCACGACGCTTGACTTGACGGGACTGTCGTTGTACAACCAGGCGAGGAACTCGGTACTGTTCCAGTAAGTGTCGTTGGCCTCCCAGTCGCCGTCGGACCAGATCACATCGGGTTTGTACCTGCAGTTTAATTTTTGCATGAGGACGTTTGTGACGATGAACATCACTCTATAGCCGCTGACAGCCGAAGAGACACAGGGTGAGGTTTAATATATTTATGCTTTTTACGTCGTGATTTTTTTTCTTCAGCGTTCTTGTAATTAGCTGTGGGACTATAATAAGAAGCTTCGGACTCGCTAGCGTTCCTTAGGCTGTCATTAACTATAGTCACTATTTAGAAGGATACAAACTACTGAAGGTGTTAAACTAAAGTGAGAGTGCGGGCGAGCTGGTTTAAGACTGAAAAACCTTGGCGCAAGTGGAAAATGGGACGGCAAAAACAAAGCACCAAACTTCCGTTGTACTTCCTCCTGTACAAATTACGGTTGACGACGTTCTAGAATTACGTACCTTACTATCCCGAGAGATAGCCCACCTAAAATAGAAAGCCAATCGGGTGAAAATATGGAGTGGGCTAACTTTCGGTGCGTAATAAAAGAAGTTGAATGAATATTAGCTCTTTATTTTGTGACCTGCGAAACTTGAGATATCAAGGAGGGCTGATGAACCTAAGATGACTGTCCTTCTCAGTCAGCAATTTTTCTTTTATGTCCCTCTTTGGCTAAGTAACACGATTTCAGCCGAGGTAACCATTGATCAGGGCCCTATACTTACTAAAAGTGGGCTATATTTCGGCGTTTTTGAGAAAATAGAAAATCATGCCAAAAATAAGAGTGGGTTATATTTCGGGGGTGGGGCATCTCTAGGGATATTACGGTACGATTCGGCTGTGCATGATGACCACAGGGCAAAAGGGAACAAACACCTCACTCGTTCAAAATGCTAAACTGTTCAGTGAGGGCCTCAAGATGAAGCGCCTTTCTCCATTCAAATAACTGGTTTTGGGGCGATGAAAGCATGTTACTCTGCAGTTGTTACTTCAAAACAGTCCTTGAGACGCTAATAATGACTTTAGTGCAGACAAGAAGGAATGCGAGAATGAACATGGCGACATGTGAATAGTAGAGTCAGCCGATCCTCTTCAGGGGCATTGGTGTGAATTTAATAATGCCAGAAAACCTTACTAATATACTGTATAAACAAGGCAGTTTAATTTTTATTGTGTTGATGTCAATATATCTCTTTCGAAAGTCACGTGCCGATTATTAGAAGGTCGGAACCACTGCACAATTGCGGAACAACAGCATCGACGAACGTGCACGCCATTCTATAAAATAGCGAACGTCGGAACGTGGCCAACACTACGAGCCGACAAGCCAAACAAACACCGTCGAAAGTGCACCGTCACTACGCTCATTACCTTTTCTCCGGATTTGTTTTTTTACTTTTTTCTAGTGTGCCTTGACGTTGAAGTTTTAGTACGCCATTGTGTAGGGATTCCGTAGCTGCCAACCGAGGGAAGTATTTCGAAAGGGGTCTTTTAGAAGAATTTGTGTACGTTAAATATTATTAATTATTAAAACAAAAAGCATCTGAATCCCACATGATGACTAGTTTGCTGGTTACTCCTCTCACTGCCTTCCTTTATTCTTCCAAAATACGCTTTTTATATGCGCACTGAGTTAGTACAAATAAAAACGTGTGTAATTTTCCCCACAAGTTCATAGGTCACTAGCGTCGCAAGTTTCGCGATGTTCACAAAATAGTACGAACACAGAACTTTGGTGGGCTGACAACCAGGGGAAACGTTTCTCTTGATGAGGCAATTCAACAATGTTGAGGAAAAGTCACGGTTACCAAATCGTCATTGATTCCAAAATTCCCCAAAGAAACATCAACAGGAAGTTTTTAAACTCCAAGTCGTTTTTCGCGTGACGTTTAATGAAAGAAGTTTAACAACGCGGGCGGAGAATTCATGCTTCCTTCAAGGAATCAATGGGAGCCGTCGGCTCGTGGATGAATTGAACTGCTCCGAGGAAAATTCAGGGGTGTTCATGCTCGAGCGTACCTGCGTGCGTGATAGCACTTGGTGCGTTCCTTATTTTCAAAGCGTTTCGTTGTACTCATCACTTACACAAAGAACGATGTTGCTTTGCTGACGGTCTGAGGTTTAGGGCATTGTATCCAGAGCCATTATTCGGGCAAAAGTGCGTTTTCGTTTCATAGTTGCTGAAGTTTTAGGCACAACATCTAATAGAGTAGAGAAAAATGGCAGCAAAATACACTCTAAGAAACCCAAAAAAGTATTTTTGTTGCCTTTCCCGAAGAACACATAGATGTATCCAGTCGTGCGAAGAACGGGAGTATCTCAGTCAAATGGTGCTAAAATATAGCATTAGACCTGTAAAATCCGATAGACGCAGGGACAATAAGATATTGAAACGTCATGCTTGTTGTCCCTGTGTAAACCGCGTTTTTGAAGTCTAATGGTATTCTTAGCTTCGTCATTCGCTGCGATACTGCAGTAGTTTGCGGTGATTTAGTATATCTTCCTCTTAGACAGGAAAATTCAACAGTTAACTTTTTTAGAGTGTATAATTGATAATTTAAGTCACACTATGTTAGTAATAAAAAAATTTTCAGGATAACTAACATGTAAAGTAAGGTAACCATAAAACTGACCTATTCTTGTTACATGAGTTTATAGAGAACAAGTTAGAAGGTTTGATGACTGAGTGCGTTGATGTACGGTAAATCACCCCCCCCCCCCCCCCCCCCCCCCCTCTGTAGAGCGAAGGCTCGGCATGCAGACTGCCATATTAAGACTGATTTTCGCTCCCATTGACTTAGACATGAACAATGCATTCTATTAAAGTCCATTGATACTTCCTTTTACAAGTAACGACAACCGATAGAAATGACAAAAAAACATTCCACTGGAACAAAATGGTATCATTCAGTTCAGTCTTCTGCTGTGCGCCACCATTCACTTCCTAAAACCTGCATCGTCACGCAGTCGGCGCTTCAATGAGTGTCGCTGCTTGTAGGAAACTGTAAAAACTTTACACTGTACCGGTATGCGTATGTACTATGTGTAGCGCGTGATGCAGGTCAGCAGTGGCAGCTTAGTAGAAGGCAATGATTAAATTCTCCCTCCTTCAGGGGAAACGCCTCTAAACCTCCAGTGCAACAGATTTGCAAGTACGCCCAACCAAGCTCGAAAGTTTGATCTTCGAATATTTTTACAAGAAAACTACTTCGTTTCACCTTAAACCCAGACGTAGCTGACGCTACGAGCTGATGGTATCAATCGGACAGCATAAAAAGCGCACCATTATGGTGTTGCGTTCATCATGTTTCTCTACGTGTTCTATCATTGCTGTACCAATCATAAATAGAAAAAGCCCAGTGACTCACACTTTTTCACGTTGCTTGGTTGGTTACATTACCGTGTAGCGTCTTCTGTGTCTAGACTTCTGCTGATCCGCATTCAGAGATTTGTATACCTACTCGCATTCGCTCACTTCATTCGCGACTCCAGCAAAACGAACCGCACCCAGTGGGAAAACACCGAACTGGCCGGAACAGGTTTTTTTCGCGATTTGTGCTTGTCTTCTGTAGCTCCCGTGATTGCATGTTGTGGGTGTCTGCGCGATGGAAAAGCTGTCCCTGTAACTCTGTCGTCACTGTCGTATCAGCTTGCTTCCAGGATGCCCTGTACGCAACCCATGCAAGCGCGTGAACGAGACCTCGAAGAAACTCAAGCTTCTGGGGGCTCGCTTACGCCGACAGATCGCCGCAAGTTCGAAACGTGGAGGTTAAAAATCGGGGCCAACCATTTTGGGTCCAACGCTTGCTTGCTGGTACCCCAGCGTTGTGCGTTGAGCTGGCACTTGACACAGCACGACCTGTTTTAGACCGCCATATTACCGCCATATTTGCCCGATAGGGGTGCCCCCTATAGGTCGCTGGAGTCGCGAATACCGAGGTCGTCCTCGGACAGTTCAATCCTCGTTTGTAATGTTCCAAACAACACGTCCACTTTAGCGTGATACGTGGATACACACCTTTCTACGTTTGCAACTACGGCTTCTGGGCGCCGCCATCTTGCTGCGGTGTGGATAGGTCGTCTGATAATCAAGCATTGGGTGCGTTAGGTGGAGACTTTCGACTCGTGTCTGTCCGTCGAAGTTTCCCCTAAGCGGGCTTTTAGTGCACCTCCGGATGCAGTTCGCGCCTTTTATGTGAATTTCTGGTTGCTTTCCTTTTGCTTTTCTAGGAGAAAAAAGCCCTAGCAACGAACCTTTGCTAGGGACGTTGTTATGGACAAATACATGATGGCTCGACGTGAGGTTAGGAATTAGCAGAGAAAAAAGTAAATATATATATATATATATATATATATATATATATACATATATATATATATATATTTTGCAAGCATTGTGTTCTCTCAATATCAAATCTTGAAGACATTTTCTATCGTTGCAGTACTATAAAGCGGCAACAAAAGCCCGTAATAAAGTTTCACAACCGGTTTTGCCTTGCTAGCAGATGACACAATGGCTTGGTGGGTTCAGTGGTTCTTTTTGAGTTAGTGCGCGATTGCATTGAATGAAGTTGGTGACGATCAACGAAACTTCTATACTCGGGGTCAACTTCCTGTGGGATTTGGGAAGCGAAGAGTGCCAGTGCGCAGCTTTGATCGACGCTCGAGGTGCGCCAGCGCGCAAACGCCTTCCTACGAAGCTTGCTTCCGCAATATTTTAGGTGAAAACACTGTGAAGCCGGATCACGTACGACGACGACGTGAAGTATATCAAGGTCTATGTGCAGGCCAGCACACGTTTCAAGAAATTCTGATAGCACAGAAGTTGCTTCGCTGCACATTTGTGGGATCAAACGAACTGCCCGTAACGTAGATATATAACTTACTGGATGCGATATACAGCTCCTTCGTTATTTGAGGTCTTACTTAAAACTAAAGAATGAGTTGGATTTTTCCTCAGTGCGATGATCACAAGCAAGTACAAGACACACGAACCTGAAGAACGAACTTTGGGGTCTCGAGCCGCTCATGTTACAGTTAAAATAATTCTTCATTGCAATGCACGTCAACTGCAAAATCAAAAAGAGGGCCCGACGCTGCTTTGATGTTACGTTCTAAATAGATTCTTTTCTCGCTTTATTTTTAGCATATCTCCATGCGTGTGATGATTTTCGTCAGACAGTATCCCATATCGCACGCAAATACAATTCGTATATATAAACCCGATGAGTTGTCTTAGGCTTGCCAGGCTCCAAATAAATACAAAGTCAAAATCGTACCATTGTGCAAACGACTCAAACTGTTGCAGTCGTAATACTTCACTCATTCCGTGCGCGTTCATCATGCGTTCGTAGTCTGCAGCAGGCATCTTGAGACGTCTTGAGGACCGCAAGTTGTTGTCACAGATATTTCAGAGACAGCCGATTCTCGGCAAACACCTGTCGTGGTCAGTGTGAAATCTGGGCTTCCCATATCTATTCTTTCGAGACGTTCAAATTCCACGTCTGATTCTTGACCGACCGTTCTTTCGGAGCGAAATCCAGTCCCATGTATTCGACCATAACAATGACCGTAGCAACGGTTTGTTTGGATCGGTGACGTCACAATTACGGGGTCAATTGCTGAGACGTACCCAAGGTTCCCAGACTAGCGCGCAAACAAAGCGTTTTCCCATCCACGGTGGCCAGACCAGCTCTCGAAGCGCGTCTGTTTACAAGCGTCTATAGTTGGTGCCAGAGCCGTATAGGTAGAGAGTTTGGTCAATGGGAGGCGCGGCCAGAGCCAGGGCGTGCGGCAGACTCGGAAAGAGGGCTTGGCATGCTCTCTTGACCAACCAGAAGCCGAAAAGAATCCCCTAGCAGTGGTAGCGAGAAACAGTTCTGATCAAAAGTCTATGTTCGTATATGGTTTTAATAAGCGCGTAAGAGTGAGGTGTAGTAACTCATTGTGGTTGAAAATAGGGTTCACGTGTTATTTTGATCATGATCATGCAGAAAGATGTAAGAAACGAATGCGCCGCTCAACTCTGTTTTGCGCAGACAGTGTGTGACCGCTCGGACGGCAGATTCCTGGCTTTCGGCGCTTGGCGTACGGATTATATCGATCGTTCCGCTAGTCGCGCTCTTCCACCATCATTTCGGATGAGCGTGATTGAAACATCACGTGTACCATATTTTCAGCCATCGAGAGTTACTCCAATGCAGTTATCAGGTTTGTTTCTCCCGACCACCGCCAGGGTATTATTTCCGGCTTCTGGTTGGTCAAATCCGAATTTCTGAAGACGCCCTGGAACACGCCCAGTCCGCTTTCGGCCAGTGGCGCCTCCGCATTTGTCTCCTATACTACCCAACGAATGGCCAAACTCTCTACATATACGGCTCTGGTTGGTGCCAGCGATTCTCCGGCGTCTTATTATTCGACAAGAACGCATCAGTCGACAAGAACGCCGAAGAACGAAGCAAGAAGTGTGATCATAGTAATTTCCGCAGTGCGTTTTTTAAGCTGTCACTGACCTTACATGTATACGAAATCAGGTACAATAGACCATTTTCAAAAGCCCGTCAAGCAACATTGCCGGTTTTCATTTTTTTGGCCGTGAAGCGTGTGATTGGATGCGAGTCATCGCCGAACCATCCAGTTTAGTACGTACTCTGAGTACGTGTATAGGTAACGGCCGACTGAAATGACTGCCGCAGCAGCTACCAGATGGCACGCGCTCTTGGGAAGAGTCCAACATTAAACTAGGTCGGATTTCCATACAGTAAGGCAGAAAGAAGTATATGATGGTCACGTCTTACCTTTCGACAATTTCCCTCAACTCGGGCATGGTCTTTCGGACGACAAAGTCGTTCGTCGTCCAGCGGGCAGCCTTGTCTGCCAGGTACAACGGATTGAACCACTCGTAGAGCGAGTGGTACAGCCCGAAGTGCACACCGCCTCCTTTCTTCCTGATGGCCGTGGCGAGGTCTCCAACCAGGTCCCTCTTGGGTCCAACGTCTCCGGCGTTCCAGTTCCAGGACACGCTTGAAGGCCAGAGCGTGTAACCATCATGATGCTTGCTGGTCAGCACCACGTAACGAGCACCGGACTTGTAGAAGAGGTCCGCCCAACGGTCCGGGTCGAAGAACTGCGCCGTGAACTCGGGCGCAAACTCCGGGTAGGTAAAGTTGGGCTTGTAGTTCTGTCTCATGAACTCCACGACCTTCGGATCTTTATTGCTCCATTCGGACCAGAACCATTCGCTTTTAAAGCTGGGCACCGAGAACACTCCCCAGTGGAGGAAGATGCCGACCTTGGCTTCATCGAACCAGCTTGGCGAAGGACGCCTGTCCAGGGACTTCCAGTCCGGAGTGTAGCGTCTGGAACTTGTGGATCCCAGACTGGCTAGAAAAAGTAAGAGCAATGAGCCTTGCATCATCTCGCTGGCACACCCGCGACTCTTAGAAAAAAAAGTTTAAAGAAAAACATGGACTTCGCACAAGGGTTCGCTGTTCTATTAGGTTCATATGGTCACTATGAAATGGCGAGGAAACAACAGGAGTCAATATATTGCTTAGGGTAGCAAGAGCGCGGTCACTTGGAGGTCGTCCGCCTTGGGTCTATACTACAGTGCCTGCCTCCGTATCTGTGTGCTTAGGAACGTGATAGTAAGAAGTGGAAGCTGCAAGAGGCGGAAGATACGCCGGTGTTTGATTTCACCCTCCAAATCTAGAGATTGGAAGCGGGGGCCAAGGTTTTATCTCTCTTGCAGCATTTACGTGAACCTTGTGCTGAAGTTGATGGATCTACAACACGCGACGTGTTCACATCTTGTTTTACATCCAGCTCGGATTATAGTTTTTTTTCTTGATTGTTTATTGTGAATTCAGGAGTAAGAAGACCGCATAGCCTTCGGTATTGTTATTTTTAACACAGTGCTCTTTGTTCCTAATAATTCAGAAACGTGTTACTGAACGAAGAACAAGGGTTAAAAAAAAAAAAAAACAAGGCAGTGCGAAATTTGCGCGCTCTGCGCCAAAAAAAGCCATATCTAATATTCTAAACAGGTAGTAGGCATAGCCGAATGACGCTTAAAGCACTACTTAATTACACAACTTTTTCTTAAAGAGAAACTAAAACGGTTTTGTATTTTAGTAGAAACATTTAAATCGTCTTCATTTGGCCTTCAGGGTAACGAATATCGAGATTATTTTTCAATTTGGTGCGCGGAGGCTGGAGAAGATTATTTTCAAAGTACCGCTGAAGCCCCTCTTCCCGGAGCATAGAGCCATAGCCATAAAAAATGTTTACAAAATCTTCGTAAAAAAAAATAAATAAAAAAAAGTCGTCTTGACTGGTGTCAATGCGGGGGAATATACCTGGCAAGCTGGGAACTGCACGTGCTTTCCACACAAGCGACGCGCGCTTGGTGGTCAAAAAATCATTTTATGGCGTAGCGAGTGGTCGGAGGTTTTTCGTGTTTCTCGCCTTTAGTTGCATCTTCGGAAGAAACGAACGTTATGTTCAGATTCACGGGATAAAACTACTCTACAGTTCACCTCTAACTCGTTTTTCTTCAAGAACCTCTTCAGCTTCCCTTTAATAACCGAGGAAAAAATAAATGAAAGGAGACATTAGCTGCTGGCTGATGGTTTAGGGGCGTCGGATGCTTTTTAGTGGCATTGCTAACTTTATATAGGTTCGTAATACATTCACATTCAATTAAATTTCCACGGCAATTGTCATGTGATCAAAGTAATGAAGCTTGAATTACAAACATTAACGGAAAAAGCGTTTTCGTTGAGTAAAATTTAATAAGATACTAGCTTACACGGCAGTGCGCCAACTCTTGATATTGTGTATTCAAAATGACGCGTTCTAAATTTGACAGCACGGACTACCAGATGTACATTCTTTAAAATGCCCGCGCGTGTAATTTCCCGCCAAGCACTCAAAGGGCACACCGACCGCGATCCAGGACGAGGCTGAAGATGTGTTGAGAGCTGAAACTGAACCCTACCATGCGACACTGAGCCTGACGAGACGCGAAAAGCCCTGCTCGGTGTCACATCGCAAACTGTATAGCTGCCCCCGTGATAAGCAGTCATTACGACCTTCTTGTAGATCGTACGCAAGAGCTTAGTGTTACTAGCAGGAGCTCATCCTGTCACTTTAACGTCGTGCTGAGCCATGGCCTCCTCTATACTGACCAAGCCTGACAGATCGCCACAAGACGCGGCCGCCGGAAGCAGGGCCGTAACCAGGGGGGGGGGGGGATAGGGGGTTCTGACCCCCCCCGAAATTTTTTTCTGGGTGCGGCCCTGGTCGGTGCACTTGCAGCCAGCCGATTTTAATCTCCACCTCTGCGCACGCGCAGTGGCACCGGTCGGCTACCGGGTACCAAACCGGGACCGGTTCTCCGGTTTGCTGCAACTCTCCATTATATACCACCGATGCACATGATTCATAGGCGAAAATAAGACAATAGACACTTTCAAAATGGCCGCCGTTGTCCCCGAAAACCCCCCCCCCCCCCCCCCCCCCCCCCCGAAATGTTTTTCTGGGTACGGCCGGTCCGGAAGTGACAAGGTAGAGCGGCAGACAACGGATAAGAGGAGAGTCATGTAACGGGCGCCCCGCTGCGGCGAGACGCCAAAACACACTTCTCCCGAGCGATGGAATGTCCGCTCGGGCTCCTCGCGTTCCTCGCGCTAGCGCTCCTTTTCTCGTCGGGTTTGAAAACCATTTTTCGGTTCCTCGCCGCTGCAAAAAGCTGTGCGCTGAATACCAGGTCCCCCAAGAAATGCTCTGTGCTACCAGATCCTCGCGCTCCAAATCTGTGACCGTGCACTCTATGGCTCCGTCGTCGAACTGCCAGGCTTTGTGAAATAGAGGAGGCTATGGTTGAGCACTTGCTCGCATGGCCAGCAATCTGCAGATTACGATCTACGAAAAGTTCCTACTGATGCTACTAATGCTTCGTTGGAAAGTGCGGCATGTAACCTAACGCTTTTTAGGCACTTTAGACAGCACACAACCATCGGTTTCTCAACGCATCGTGCTGCGATTTACTACAGAAGTGAAAGCAGGCGGTTAAAGTTTACAATGAAAACAAATAAAAAAATACCTACCTTGCTCAAAAAAAAAAAAAAAAAGGGGGGAAGGAAACAACAGAATTTTGTTTTGGGTATTCTGCGCCGCCACTTCGCAGACGATGCCCGCGTTACGAGAAGCAAGGGCAGAGGCAGGGGCGGAAATGGTGGTGGGGAGTGAGCGTATCATATGTTTAAAGGTGTACTCTACAGGTCTTATCATCGTCCCCGATTTGTTTGAAATTTTGCTAAACTCACCAACAAACACCGCTAAAATAATATCCCAAATATTAGGTCAAAATATTGTATTTTCGCGATGTTATTGAACTTACAGTTTTGGTCTTCACCGTGTTTTTCAAACTGGAAGTCCCTACTGGCAACAACGAAAAAGTGACGTCAGTGGAAGGCAGGGGTTCACTCTTTGGACTGTAGAATTTGTTCCCAACTGATTTCAAGCAGTTTCATGGTGTCAAATGAGTACTTTGGAAGCTCGGTCCAGTACCCGCGCTCCAGCTCAGTACAAATGATTGGAATATTCTATTTTTTTAGACTGCTTACTCGACTAGCAAGCCTGCCGGCCACAGACGTCACGGCGCGCTAAAAAGTGCAAGTATAACTGAACGTTGGTTTCTGCATCATTTTCATTTGCCGATTTCACAATAACTATTATGAATTCCGCGATGCTGAATAGCATACCGGAAAGCGTAAATGCCGGGGAGTCAGAAGATATAGTTAGTTGAGGTAGCTTGAAAAACCTGTGGAGCAGCCCTTTAAGAGCCCCCTCCACACCCGTTTCCCCGTCCTAAATTTTTACATGCAGAATGTAAGAGGCATCTCAGGACATCCGGACCCCCCTCCCTGAATCCGCCACTGGTGAGAAGTGGTGCCGAAAGATGGCGTACGCCGCGTCGAGGGAACTCCGGCCGATTCGGGTTATAATAGCACGCATCCCGCAACCCAAATCGGCTGGCGCACCCTCGGCGTGGCGTACGCCATCTGTCGGCAACACTTCTCGCTACGCGTGCATCGTCGGCGAATTGACGGCGTAGAATGCCCGAAACAGATTTATTTCTGTTTTATTTCTTCTGAACGAGGTAAGTTCATTCCTTGATTTGTTTTCATCGTAAACTTCCACCACCTGCCTGCACCTCTGTAGTAAATTGCAGCGCGATACGTTGAGAAGCCGACTTGTGCGGGTCTTCTAAAGTGCCTTCAAAGCGTTTGCTTAGATGCTGTAGTTATAGTCGCAGGTTAAGAACGAAGTGGAAGTTCCTCCCACTTCTTTTCAGGTTAGCAGAGCGAAGGCTGGAGAGAAGGCAACCTCCTTTCCAGCGTTCTCACTGCTAAAGTGGAAAAAGATGAGACTGCAGTCATGCACACGTTACTCGAAAACAAATATCGTTTACAACTACAATTACTCTTGCTAAAAGAGTACTCAATTAGATTACTTGATTAATTGAAAATAAAAGTACCGTTACTTGAACAAGTAACTGTTACTTCTCAGATTAGATCAGATTTTCAAAACGACAGAGTTTTCTGCAGGTTTGAAAACCGGTACTTTGTTTTGTGTATTATCGGATTAGAACTACCGAATTATGAACTACTTATCTTCTTAATCCGCCAATATTGGTAAACCGTCCCCTCGTCGGAGATTCGGTTCGAATTTCGAGGATTCCTCAAGGAAATTTGTGCGAACAAAGGGTGCCATTAGAAATGGGGGGCGAAAAAAGTAACTGTTACAAGTTATGTAAGTACTTTCAAAAGTAAGCGGATTACTCTTGCGATTTACCTCCTAATAAAAGCAATGAAATTATTACGAAATTACACAAAAATCTAATCGATTACAAGCACTCTGATTACATTTGGAATGAGTATACCGTCCAAGTCCACTTCACCCTTAACGTGTCACCTACTACAAGAGCTGAATACTCTTCAAAACATTACACAATTGCTTGACGATTTTTGTGCGGAAGATTGTACTTGCTTGTTTCAACTAAAATATTATAAATCACCCTTCTCAAATACCGATGCGCACCCATACGACCCACATCCCAAGATACCAAACGAAAGACACACATGAGAAATTAAAGAAAACCTGGGAAAAGGAAGAGGGAAGAGGGTAGGGGTTTTGGGAAATCGAAGAGAAAAAGAGGGGTACCAAGGGGTGGCGAGTGACTTATATGTTTGTCCTGTGAAATAAAGGTCGTAGCTGCATTTGAGCCTTCGGCTGTGTCGTTCTGTGTTTTGTCTCTTGTCCATATCCCCAGTCTCGGGTTTACAACCACGCTCAATTTACACCAGCTAGCCTGCACCCTCACTCACCATTGCTTCATAAGAAGTTTTGTTAGTCGACTTCACAATTTCAAGCGAGTCACAACAACCACCCTTATTTTTTGATTAAAGTGTGCATCCAGTCTATAGCCGATGCTTTGCGCCAGGACTATTTTATTAAAATATTGCAAAATGGAAAGCTATTAGAAACGGGTGCAAGAAAATAAATGTCATTTACGTGCGTTTGACCAGGAATGTACGGTAGACAACCGTGGCTAAGCACACGTGATTTCTTCAT